GGGTTACTGTGCTCAAAAATGAAGGTTAACGCGATTAACGACTCGACTATAATCAGAAGAAATTGCCGAAAGCGCCATGAGTAAGATCCTAGGATTTGCAACTAATTTATCAGCTAAGTGCGAGCTTTCGATGAAGAAATAATGACCCTGGAACGAGATATCAGACGAATAAAGGACGAGTGAGGAGCGAGGGAGGCGACAGGTAACATGGACGGCCTCGATAAAAAGGCATGGGGCAGCAAAATGAAACCTCTTTTTTTTGAACCACATGATCGGCCAGCTTACCGTACCCGCGAGGAGCAGATATTCAGCTCATGAATAAATAAATAAATAAATAATAATATATAAATTGGCAGCAAGCAAGGGATGAGCGGTGGACCTGCCAACGAAGAAAAAGGGAAAAGCGCCAAATCTATGGTAACAACAATCTTCTTTGGGCGGTGGATGGGTCTACGAGGCAGACAGTTTGGGAGGCACTGGCGCCGAGGTGAGAGAACAGACTCGGAGGCGAGAGAGCATAGAGGACGAGTGAGACGCAGACATCAATTAATTTGCGGGGATTGCCATGCGTGGCATGCGCATGGAGACATTTCATACCAGCAGAGCGTTTTGAGCCGCGCAAACGCGAACTTCTCATATTGAAATCTCAGTCACGGAAAGCGATTCACTCAATTAACGATTAGCGTAATGTGCCTTTAAGTTCTTCAGATGATGGCAAAACATCCCCCACGATCAGCCCTTGAATGCAGCATGCAAACAAAGCAAGATCACTAGATCATCACCATAAAGTAACAGTGTCACAGACCAATATCTAAGGGATTGCGGAAGATTTGACACCGTGATCGAGCTCCGCCCACTCTACCACCGCTGTGTTTTGGTATCTGTTCCCCATCCATCGAAATGTAAAAGACCAAAGTAAAATTTCAATCCCCTTACAGACCTCGACCGGCACTGAGTCGTATTTTGGCTACTTTTCAGCAATTTCCGGTTCCATGGAACCGTGACCATCCCTAAACGATGGCCTAAGTGGCATGGGCAGGCGTGCGGTAATCGCATCATCATGTATTCGATCTATGGTCGATAAACTTGCAAAATGTTGGAGGCTTCTAAGTTGGAACTTTATACACGACCATTCCAAAACATCATAAAACCAATGCGAACAGAGACCCACAGTACCGTCAAAACGAAATCACCGCAGACGTATTTTTGCCACAACTCATCGAAAACCTGATATATTTGACTGCTTTTTGGCAACATTTTTCGTGCTTATCGATCCTTATGCCGGCTCAAGGGGTGCGAGATGATATTTTAAAGGGAAATCCACGAAAGTGGCAAATTTCCAGGTCAAATTTCAAGTTGTTTTCTTCGTTGAAATTATTTCCTAATTGTTATTTCTTGTAAGTGAATCGAAGTGGGAAGTTATTTTCCAGTTCGCAACAGGGCGCTATACAAGTGAGGTGGGCACGCCTAGCTTTTCACGCATGTCAAGCCAATGTCAGCCTTTTATATTAGATTGACTGCACTCCTTTTCCCTCCAATTCCCTGATTCTCGTGACAGTATAGTAGCGGGCAGCAGTCCCACTTACATACAGTAGCGGTCAAAAGTGTTCGCCGGAACGGTTTTTCATGCTTCTCCTTTTTTGCCAGAAAAAAATTAATGGTGACCTCGAAAATTTTTCTTTCGAATATCCTGATTCTTTAAGACTTGAAGATATAAAACACTAGAAACATAGTATATCAATCTTTGAAGGACGTTGCTCAGGCAAGAAAGAATAATGGCCCGAAAATCCTTTCGGCGAACACTTTTGACCGCTACTGTACATATCTGTTCAAAAAATGGGGCGTGCTCACCCTACTTGTATAGCACCCGCAATAATACAGTATGATTAGTATTGAAGAGTTGAAAGATAGTGAAATTCAGTATGATTAGTATTGAAGAGAGTTAACAAAGAAGGTGAAATTCCCGCCAAGCTTCCCAAAAAAAAATTAGAACATGATCAATAAACTGCGCAGATGATTTTTCAGATTTTCGTTTGCAATTATTTTCGGTATATTGCTGCGGTCGGTTAGCTATATGACAGAATCATCTTAAAATATTATGTTTGGCATGAGTTATGGCAAACATCTACTCCAGTGATTTCTTTTTTGACAGCATTGTAGCTAAAATGGAATATTCGAGCGCCAATTGAGGGCCTTGAGAATACCGTGAGGGTAGAAAAAAAGAAGTACAAAAATATTCGGTCACGTGTCCCCTCAAGGACTTGAAAACCAAAAGCCAGCACGCGATCGTAGCTGGCTTCGGTTCTTCTCAACCAGGGCTCCTTGATCTAGACCATATCATGGAGTAAGTGTTGAGCAACGCAGTCAAGCACGCATTGTCATTCAGTGCTGCATTTAGACTCCTGAACTACTCGGCAGGCGACAGTTATGGAGAGAATCGTTGGTCCCGTAGCCTACGACGGTCGAAAATCGAGGGCGCAGCCGTACGCGCTACAGCATCGAAGATCAGGAGAACCGGAAGCGCCGTGCAAATTCCGTAAATGATTGTTTGAATAAAAAACGGTCACTGACCGGATCACGATTGGTAAGCATGAAATCAACATTCGGGCAACTGCCTTTTCGATAATCAGATCTGTTCGCAGAACGAATGGTGTAGAACACTTTTGGTGTCTCTTGCAAATATAATCAACTAGATTGCTCGCGCTTCCCATGGAGTGAGTGGGGGACTACCTATTGTCGGCTATAGGTACTCGTCAAGCTCATTACAGCGTCACTCTTTCCAAGGGTACATTGGGGCAGGTGTCCGAGACTTTGCCGCCGGAGCGTCACGCGAATCCGCCGAGTCCGGCAGCGGATTGCGACACCAAATTGATCCATGCGCCAGTTCATAATGCACAAGATATTAGTCGGTGCATCGCTTTTGCTCCTTGAGCAAGATGTCAGACTTTGCGACCAATCGCGGGGGGGGAATTTCGCTAGCGAAGCCGTCAGCGTGCCGTTGGTTCTCTCTTCTTCAAAAAGGATGGGGTCGGGCATCAAAGCTCCGTACCCGCACCTCCAAGGAGTTCTGTCCTTCAAAGAGGCGATGATAGACTGATATAAGATACACACTTCGGAGCGACCTTGGAGGAAAGACTTACTGCACACACGTAATACCTTATTCTTGAAGCAACAACCTAAGACGATGCCGTGTCAATCAACCCATCGGTGGGTAGGAGAGAGTTATCCCGCGAAGTGGATCGTTGTTCGGTGGCCCCGAAGTGAGAACGACAATGGCTCTCAGGATTGAATCGGCACCAAAATGTTCACTATCCGACTGTTGTTACCCCACAATTATGTTTCTGGCCGTTTGTTGTGCTATATTTTGGTATTGGATCAATTTCTTGATACTGCTGAATATTGTATTCTGAACGACGCATATTAGATAAACGCGAGGAGAGGATCCAGGAGCTTACCATGAAAGGCACTCAACTTCCCATGGAATTTTGATTTGAGACCCTCTTGCATCGATAGAACTTCAAACGCTGATTACAGACATGGAAATTAAATCTGCAAAAGGTGCCTAGGAAATTGAGAGCGCCAAATCTGGTTGAAAGTGAAGGGACACATTTACGAACCGCGCTAGCCTCCGGGCTTTCAGCGTCGCCGTGGAGTAGCAGTAGTACCCTCGCTCTCCACTCGGGACATCACAACTTGCCTTCCCGTTGGAGTGCAAACTCCCAGAGTACTACGACTACAATGGCGACTCTGAAACAAGGTCAACCGTCACGTTGGACCAATTTCGAAAATTTTACGACCCCCTTCCCCCTTCTAGAGGGCCTCGATACGACCCCCCTCCCTCAGGGTTAACCCTTCACGACCATCCTCCACCACCCTCGCCTGCCATCGCCATCATGGGGGCGATTCTATAGTATTTGATTCTGAGACCAGTCGACACAGCCCAACTCCGCCCACTTTTTCCCTCCAAAATTGGTCCTCGAGCGGGGGGGGGGGGGTGGGGGGTTATATCGAACGCGAAACGACATTCGCACTTTCAACATCCACTCTCCGTTCCATAAAAAGACATCCCTTCCCTCACTGTAACATTGATGCTACCTCGCGAAATACGACCCCCCCCCCACCCCCTCGTTGGGACTTTGTCCAACGGACGGTTGACCCTGCCCTGAAAGCTCAGGGACTAGCACGGTTCATAGTTCATAGCCAACTTTGACTGCTCATAACTTCCTTAACAGGTTCATTTTCCAATTTTATTTTCCATAATTGTAATAGACGTCTGCTGATAGCAAACACTTTTCCGCCACAAGCGTTGTGAGCCGAACCGATAGAGTAACCATCACTCCTCCCTTTACCATACCTCGCCCCTCCGCGCTCCCCCCAATTCCGTCGACGTGCGTAGGCAGATAGTACCGCAAAGGTTGCATCAATACGGCCTAAAAAGGCATTCAAAATGATAGCCTAAATTTTTATCAGATGCTTTAGGCATCATTGATCAATTTGTTGCCTGAGAACCTTATTCAAAAGATTCCACTCGAGGCGCCTTATCAGTGCCCGGAACGAACAGATGAAGAAATGCGACGGAAATTACTGCACTTGCAAATGCAGACTTTTTTCAATCGTGTCTCCTCTTTAACAACAGGAGGGGAAAAAGCAGAAAACTCTTGAAATTCTACCTGTAGCAGAGTTCCCAAACCGGATCCGAGAGGAGTCATCAGCGCGTAAATAAGTATCGTTGCGATCACTGCTTTGAGCTAAACGATAAAATTCACTTCCAGGTTCGGAGCAATGTGAAGGAGCAGCTCACCTTGTTACTGTTACCCTTAGAGATCTGTAACCCGACACTGAACGCTTCGACGCCCTTGTGTAGGATGAGGGAGATGAAAAGGGTGACGATTCGCGCAGTTGTGTTCTGAAATGAATAGTTTCAAGGGCAGTTCATGGCTACAGGAGGGTCCAAATAACTGTGCAGGACCTGAACTCCGAGAGCGAAGCCCTCGAGGATCGAGTGGAACGACATGGCGACGGCGAACGTCAGCGATTTCAGCAGGGATGCTTCGGACGATTCGGCAACGGCATAGTTCGCTGTTTCTTCCATAACAAGGCTGAATCTGCACCTCACGGTTATACAAGCACTGTTCCTTCCTCGTGGCTGAACTGAGGGACTAGCTACGATCTATACTACCTTTGTAACTGAATTTTTTAACACTATTAAACTCAAAATGTTTGTTAAAAGACGGGTTACTTGTTTTTAGAAGAAGTGTGTCAGAAAGGAAGCGTTCTAGAGGGTGATAGTGCAACAGTGATGCAAACCTGTGCGTTGGCAAACCGGCGGCTTTTAGCTCCTCGTCGCTCATCAGACCAAGAAGTGCTTGAGTACTGAAAGCTGTAGCACATGCAAATGTTAGCCAGAAGCCGGAAAAGTGTTAGAAGTTTTGAGTTTTACCGATCCCTAGCGAAGGTTACAAAATGAGACTTTTAAGCTTGGTTTTACCAAGTTTGGCCTAATCTTGTTCTTGGAGCTGTACTAAGTTGCGCTTCTGTAACTTAGGCCACGAAAAAGCTATTCTGCCTGAGATGGAGGCGTAGTTCTACAGAAGACAACCCAAAAAGAACCAAGGTGAAGAGCCTGGCTGTCTGCTTGAAGGCATCCCTCCCCCGAATAGACCACTGGGGGAAGTCGCTCAGTGGGTAGGATGAAGATGTTTGCGAAAGATACCGAATTTCCGTTCATTCGCCTCAAGAGTACGCCACAAAGGCTCCAGAACCTTGAAAATGCCCCGATTACTGATCATGAGCGCTAGTAGAATCGTCCCATTAAGCAACGACCGTGCTTCTGTGCCCTCTCATGCAGCGTGGTCTTTCGCATATTCCCGCTTCTCTGCGCGCTATGTCTCTTGTCGCACCGCGCTGACCTTACACAAAGTTTAAGCCTGTAATTTCAGTGTTTCGGGGATTTACTTGGTCTTTTTTTGCACTTTCTGCTCACTGAACATTCTGCTCCTCCACTGGTGAGCGCTCTTACACACCAACTCTATCCTAGAGCATGCCTTTTAGTAGAGCCATTTCGGTAAGCAGATACTCTCAAAATATGAAAGTGGATGTGTCAAAAGGTGCGTTTGTGAAAGAAAAACAAAGGAGGCATTCAACCAGGAACCCCCCCCCTGAACGAACGGGACCCGTTAATTTCAGTTGTAGACGAGTTTATCGCCAATGTAGAGGTCATTCCTTGAACAGAAGCACTGAGATTACGCCAACGGGAATCAAAAGGCAGTTGCTAGTCCATGAACAGTGCAATAGTGGGCTTAGAAAGGGAAACTGAATGGTGACGAAAACGGTTTAACTTTCAAACACATTGCCGGAATCAGGCCCCGCAGGAGCCGGCGGTGGGCGTATCTGAGAACCATGGCGACCTTTGAGACACCTTAAAGGAAGGAAGAGCTCCGCCTCCATTACCACAGAAAAACGATACCTTAGGCCCCTAGCCTCATGAGCATAGCAAAAAGAACGGAACATAAGCGTTAGTTTCGATAATACTAATCC